ATATGCCACATCAGCAAACTAACGGAGTTTTTGACGGAATCTAACGGCAGGGACCATTTGTGATCATACATACTAACCTTGAGGACCACTAATGACACAAAAAAATATTAAGGATGAAATCTGATAGTTTCGTAAACCTTAGGGACCTTTTGTGATAATAAGCCTAAAATATATATATATTTTTATTTCTTTCCCTTCCCTCTTTCTTCTTCTTCTTTCTCTCCGCTAGATTCTTCTTCTTTTAAGCTTGGTGAGCGCATTGCCTTTGTCACCTCTGGTGGGAATTGAAGAAATGTATGGAGGTGATTAAGAATCAACAGAAACAAAAAGCAGGTCGTCGATTGATGACCCGTCAACCGTATTGAACTCAGAGAGCATGCTCTGAAACCAGCCAGAGAGATCAAATGGGTTGTAGTGGACTGTATCAGAAAGTTGAGAAATCCCATCTTCCTGAGCAGAGCCCATGACCATCTCCAACTGCTCAAGCTTTTCCGCCACCTCTGCCATGTCTGAGGCTCGAACCTTGTAACCCAAAACGGCAAGCAACTCATCAATGCCGCCGCAGCCATCTTGGTCTGTTCCCAAATTTTGGCCTTGCCATTCAGCACTGAGGATCTGGACGACGAGTATTCGCCCTTGGAACTATTTTGATCCGTGCAGGTATCGCGGTGATCTCTCTTCATCTTTTTTCTTTTGAGTTTGATTGTTGTGAGGAGGAAGAAACAAAGAAAGAAGAAGCACTGAGAGATATAAACCAAACCACAACCACTAGGGTCTGAACATTCTGTCATGCAGAGAGCAGGAAGAATATTGAGAGATATAAACCAAATCACAACCACGGATATGTTTTTTCTGGAGAGAGAATAAGAAGAAAGAAGAAGAATCTGGCGGAGAGAAAGAAGAAGAAGAAAAGAAAGGGAGAAAGAAGAGAAGAAAGAAAGAAAGAAATGGAAGGAAAAAAAATATGTTTTATAATTTTTGATTGATTTGACGATTTTATCCCTGGATTTAACAGTTTTTTTTGACAGAGGGACTATTTAAGAGCACCTACATTAACGTTAGGGACCATAAGTGATACAAAAAAACTTTAAGGATGTAATCTGATAGTTTCGCAAACATCAGGGACGTTTTGTGATAAAAAGCCTTTAATAAATTTTGTTCTTCTCTTTCCTATTCTATCCTTACCCTACATTAATTTCTTTTTTACTTCACTTTTATATTATTTCTTTTTCTTTATACTTAATTTTCTAACTTATACTCCATTTTCAGTATTAAAGGGGAAAAAAAAACTTAATTTCTTACTCGATTAAAGGAAAAAAAAATTAAAAATGGAGTGCAAGTTGGAAATTTAAGTATAAAGAAAAAGAACTAATATAAAAATGAAGTAAAAAGAAATTAATGTAGGATAAGGGTAGAATAGGAAAGAGAAAGAATAAAATTGATTAAAAAGTATTAAAAAGTAAAAAGGAGTGTAAGTGGAGAAAAGAGGAGTAAGGAAATCATATCCCATTTTCTAAGGTTTAAAATTTTTGGTGGAGGCGTACCCAATAAAACACCAAAAAAATTAATTAATAACTTTAGGGGGAGGCCGGTTTTAAACTTTACTTTTGTGGGGGGTCAAAGTTTTAAACTTTGCTAAAAATAAAACATTAAATAGAGTTAGAAAAATAAAAAGTCACTTCACATGTAAATTATTATAAATTATTCGGCACAAAATGGTTTATTTGTTTAGTATATGTCAGATAAAGACAAAATTTGTGTGTCTATCCAAATAATATCACTTACTTTTCCTAAAGAATGTGTCAGATAATATATATAATATTAATTATTTTTGCAACGATTTTTTGTGCCTAATGTAAAATTGTGCCCTATGTGCATGAATTTTGCACAATTATTTGTGTTTTATAAGAGAAAAGCACAAATGTGATTTATTTGTGTTTTATAGAAAAAAAAAAAAAAAAAAAAAGGGGATATATACATAGAGACTGCGAAAAATAGAACTATAAGCTTTAAGAAAAAAAGGGGAGATAAACATAGAAACACAGAAAAACATAGAAAAGAAAGGGAAAAAAAAACCTAATTTGACTTGGCCCGTTATTTTCTCTCTCCTAATTGAAGCCTGGCCCAGCCCATAGAAGATCTCTATTCAAACTTGGACATCTCCAACTTCTATTTTGTAGTGGCTCATTCTCATTGTTACTGCTTGAATATATCCAACAGGAGAAGTTCTGGGCTAGAATATATCTAATTTTTCTAAGTGTAAACAATCTTCATTAATTAATGAACAGATAATGAATGAAAAGATATGAACAAAGAAAGATGCATCTTTGTTAATGAATCAACTGAATCGAAGACACCCTTCACCGTCATTTCATTAAGCCATCGTCTTTTCTTGGGTAACAATTCTTGTTTCTACCCTAATTCATACATAAATCACAGTAAGTCTACTTCTTTCCCTTCCCCTAGTATAAGATACAATGTCACATATATCATCATATTCATATCCTTACAAAGAAAATACTGAGCTCAGGCCCATTATTTCCTTCCGGGCTCAACATGTACAAAGTCTCCGAGTCCTTCGAGCCCACAACGCGTTCGAAGAGGGCCCGCATGTACGCCATCTCGCCATCCGGGCCCTCAACCTCGGACTTCCCGGGTAAGACAGCTGCGCCCATAGTCACAGCCTTGAGAAGCTCCATGACACTCAAGTCTTCCTCCGTGGCCTCCCTCTTGACCGCATAGCCACTCTTCTTCCCGTTGCAATACATGGTCCACACCGGCTCGTCCAAAAGGCTCGCCTTGTCCTTATCCGCTCTCTTCTCGCATTCCAACGCAATCCTCACCATCCCAGACCCCATCTCCTTCTGAAGCACGTTCGTCTGCATGGCCAGCTCAACCACAAGGCTTGGGAGACACCTGGGGGTTTCTTGAATGGACAGGGACACGCGTCCTTTCCGGTACCCGAAAAGCGTGCCGCTGACTCGGGTTCCAGAGGAGGCGATCTTACTGGAGTCCATCCTTCCCATGGGGAGTGA